CGATGTGCGAGGTTTGATTTTTTGAAAAATTAAACGATTCAAAAATTACGCTAAATTAAAGGTTCTTTCTAATTAATGATGAAAGGGAACATGGATTGACTCCGAGGGCAACCACATTTTGGGGCTGATCAGGTTAAACACATAAGAATTATTTAATTGAGCAACACAAGTCCATACTAAGTTCTTACCGCTCTCGCGGAGTAGAGTATAATAATATATGGAACCAGACTGATCTCTCATGCGACAAGTTACTCAATTATTGCCTAAACAAGCGAGTGTACGACTCTCAAACCGTTGCTAATCTCTTAGTGACCGATTAAGTGTGTGAAAGTGTCCTAGGATAAGTTAGATCTCTCTTAATTTATTCTATTTGCAATTCTACTTCTAGCTGCAGTTCTAGGTTTCAAAAGATATTAATTAAATTATGAAAGAATGACAAAAATATCACTTATGGACTTTGACTAGACAAAAATATGATCATTTTTTTATTTGACAAAAAAGTGACCCCAAATAAAACACCACAGCCCGGTCTGTCATCTTCCCATCTGGAGACTTCTTCTTTGCACCCCAGACTACTGCACACATCATCGGCATTGATCTGGAAACTTCGCAACGCAGACCATCGCAATCGGAGACCGCCTCCGCATCTAGCCATCGCTCCGCCACCGCCACCGCAGTCGACCACCATCTCGACATTCAGCCATCGCACCACCCATCGTCTCACCTGCACCGCTGCTGTCCCTTGCATTGCCACTGCGCCACTACCCTATACGCCTCCGTCACATTCTTCTTCTTCTTCTCTTTTCTCTGCCAATAAACATTGCTCTAAAGCCCTAAAACTCGATCGAGATCCAAATATGGAGATGAAGGTCGGATTGTTGCCTCTTAGATCTCGGGGGCGACAATGAGAACGGATGGGTAACATTGGGGAAGACGATGTCCAAGGGTTACGGTGGTGGTAGCAATCCGGTTCTGGTGGCGGTCAGGAAGGTGAGAGGGGCTGTTAGGGTGATTGAAGTTGTGACGGCGTCGGGGTTTGCGACGACTAGGATTTCTCACGGGGCAGTGGACAGGATTTGGGGAAAGGGCAGTGACAGGGACATTGGCGGTGTAGCATTCACCGCTGGGATGGTGGCGGCCAGCAACTACACCACTGGAGAGGGGGAGGGGGTTTGGGAGGGGAGTTTTGGGGTTGGGGGAGGGTAGGCTGCGGGTTGGTGGATGGCTGTGGTGACTGGTGGTGACTGGTGGTGACTGGTGGTGCCTGGGGTTACTCTGAGCAGGTCGCGGGGACGCCCAAAAATGTCACCCGAAAATTTTCTGACAACATAGTGACACGTTTTGCAACGGCAGTGACACCCTAAAGTTAAACGAAATCTGATAGTTACATTCAAAAGTGACATAAAAATCTGATAGTGACATATAACAGTGACATAAAAATACAGTGACATCATGTTTACCCAAATATGTACGTTAACTTCTTAGTCACATTTTTGTCCTTTTATAAAAATGGTCACATTTTTGGAAATTAGCTTTAATTTGATAATATTGAAGGAAAGAGCCCTTAGATTATTCAAATACAAATTAAATAAAGATCATGCAATTACACCATAATGAAATGAACTCTAGATCATAATTAACCCCTTCATCAATCCCAAATTCACAATTAATACTAATCACAGTTCATAATTGAATTAACAATAGAATTGATCAAGAAAGAATTAATTGTCATTAATTAAAAAGATAGAACTTACAAACAATCCCAGAATAGTGAAGATTCAAAGTTTAAAAACCTTAAATAATTCTTCCTCAAACTTCTCTCTAAACTCTCTCCCCCAAATTAGGGTTCAAAGCTGATTTAAATAGAAAAATACCATTATGGGACGTTCTTTAGTCGCACACGGCCGTGTGAACACCCGTGTGCGAGACCAAGTGTTCTGCGTGCAGGTGAACAATAACTTCAAAGGTGCATACGACGTTGAACACGGTGTATGGATAGCAGTGTGCACGTAACAGAAACCTCCATTGTGCACACGGATCTGCACACGGTGAGTAGACGGCCGTGTGCACGACCATAGTCAATTTCTTTACTTTTCTTTCTTAAAAATGGTCTTCTCAAGTAAGGTGGAACCTCTTTTCTCCATAGCTGACTTCCAAAGCATCCCCAATCGTCCACTACTGTCTCCAATTGTAGTATCTGGTTCAATTTCCTGATTTCCATACTAAAAATACCAAATATACAAGAGAATCCGGTAAACCATAATTTGAATTAAATTGGCACTTTGTGACTCATTTTAGTTAGGAAAACTAATAAAAATCAATCCCAACACACATCAAATGCGTGTCAAAATATGAAGTTATCACTTAGCCCACCACACCACTCATTCCTGGATCCGCTGCTGCTTTGAATTGAAGCACTACCAACGGAAGATAACCATGATCAAATTCGGACTTAACTTCTGGTGATTTGGTAGGTAGCTTATAGACTTTAACATTATGAAAGCAAAAACATAACACCTTAATCATAAAAAAGACTAATGTTTGATGTTTCTTTCATTTTTTAAGATTCCATGATAATGTTTTAATTAGATAGTTTAAAACGCAATATTTGAAAACTCATGGAATTATTGACGATCAATAAGTTCATAACATTGATAAGTCTTAGCTTCTTGAAAAACATCTGATTGTAGACTTTGTTTCAGTGTACAATACTTAACGATGACAACGCGATGATATTAGGATAACGGGGGATCTGACGACAAAGTACTTTAAATTTGCCCTCGATCCTTTAGCTCAAGCCTACCCTACCCTATCTTCACCTCCATCTACACGGCTGATACTCCGTATAAAATTATAAATAAATGTGAGGGAAAGAATGAGGAAACATATGTTAATCATCCATTCATGATGAGTTTGGAACTAAAGATGCTAATCATCCATTCATGATTCATCCCAATAATTAGCCATAAATCCGAAATAGTGAGGACAAATCAAGGGTATAAATCAAATTTTTATCAACAATTAAGAGAAGAATTGATTCCATAAGAACAAAAGAAATGCGAGATAAAATAGAATCATTGAACACACGCTCTCTTTACTTTATATATTTACAAGCCACTTTTGTCTTTTATTTTCCGCCCAAGAGTCCCGTAAAAAATACAGGGGTATTTGTAATTTTAGAGCCCGTTTGGTAGCACTAAAATTTGCTGAATCGTCTGATTCTGCCAAAATTTATGAAATTCTGGCTGAAGTGGCTTTATTGGTCGATTCTGCTGATTCTTGAAAAAATTATACTACCTCCGTTCCTATTATAACTTCCAAATAGCTTTAACACACAATTTAAGATAGTGGGTATTGTGTAGTGAGGAGTTGTGCAGAGGAGAGAAATGTGTAAGAAATGTTGTGAACAACAAATTCTTTACCAAAAAGGGAAAGTAGAAGTTTTAATTGGAATGGATGAAAAAGGAAAGTTGGAAGTTATAATACGAACGGAGGGAGTATTTAAAATATTTGTTATTTATTAATAAAATAAAAAATTATATGAAAAAAAGCTAAGTGATTGAAACCAATACAGCCAGAAAAGTAACTTCAACCTTACTTTTTTTACTTATTACACAATTAAGCGCGCGAAATCAAAAGTCACGTGTTTGGTGAAAAAACTGGTTGATAAGTCTGATAAGTCGAAAAAAGAGGTCACCAAATGGACTCTTAGTCCTCTAACTTTTGATTGTTTTCATTATTAGTCCCGTAACTTTAGTCACTTGCAACTTTGGTCCTGTAAGTAGTTAATAAATCTTTGCGATTAAATGATATTTCCCTTGAAAAGTACATTTTCTGGCAAAAAAATTAATGTCGGCGGCATCATTTCCGGTATATTTTTGCTGGAAAGTGAACTTTTCCGGGGAAATGTCCTTAAATCACAAAGGTTTATTAATCACATCTATGTTGCACGGATACGGATATGCCGATACGCCGATACGCGAATACGGGTACATCGATATGGCAATTTAAAAAACTATAGGATACGAGTACGAGGGTATATTTATAAACAATAATAATAATCATAATAATACTAGTAATAATGATGATGATGATGATGATGATGATGATAACAATAATATAGGGTATAATTTAAAAATATATACTACCTCCGTCCCGAAAAGGTTCGTCATATTGACTTTTCTTAGTCAATGATATCAAACTTTGAACAATGATTTTAATTATTCTATTTATATACTCCCTCCGTCCCTTATAACTTTGCGAACTTTCCTTTTTTGGTTGTCCCAAAAACTTTGCCACTTTCCCTTTTAGTAAATCAATATGTGGTTCCTATTATTTCTCTCTTCTCTGCACAAATCTCTACCACATAGTTTTTACTTTATTATTCTACGTGCCGGTCAAACTTGGCAATCCTTTTAGGGACGGAGGGAGTATAATTCATAAATTTAATACTTTTATGAAAGTATTTTAAATAAGGATCATTTTGATACTTTTTTCATATCTTAAATAATTTTGCATTAAAAAATATCATTGGTCAAAGTCGATGCTCATTAACAAAGAAAAATCAATTTGGCGAACCTTTCTAGGACAGAGGAAGTATAATTCAGAGGTTCATAACTAAAATAATAATAATACCAAAATTTAACAATTATAATAAAATTTCAAAGATTAGACTAAAACACTAAAGTAGATATTTCGATTTAAATTCAAATAAAACTTCTAAATCTTTTAACAAGACTGGTTTCAACTATAGCTTATCAGGCGAAAAAATGTTAAATTATAGTATTCCGATATTTTCATACTCCCGAAATCATCTTTATCAATGTTCCACATCTTGTGGTCACTTGGGCGGCTACTAAATTTTTGACATGTCGTGTATGAAACCAGGTTTATAGGGTTAGATACGGGTATCGATTCACAGATACGGGTGTCAGAAGTTGATCTAAATAAACAAGAATGAGCCTTTACTTACGGTGTAAAGGAGACCAATTGTCTATCTCACGGTGATAGAAAAACCAAGCTATTAAGCCAAAAAAAACAACCTCTGTTTTATTAAGCAAAAGAGAGTATTAATACTCCAAGAATCCTACCTGCAGACTACTCCTTGAGCAACAAGAACAAATAAGAGAAGTACTAATTCTAATACAACTCTCATCTACGAATTAACTAAACATAATAATGCTGTAAAGTAAATAATTAATTAAATAAAAATGAAGTAAATAAATATTGCCAATGATCAGGAAGCTTCATTAAGTCACGTAGTCCTGGAGTCGTGTACTATTTCTTCGGGCCCGCTTACTATGACGGCCCATTGGGCCCGTATCCTCATCATTGCCTTCCTCTTGAAGTCGAACCTTGTCCTCAAGGTTAAAGTCAGGGAATTGCTGTTTGATGACTTCTACTCGTTCCCACGTGGCATCTTCGGAGCCAAGAGACACCCACTGAATTAAGGCTTCACGAACTACCCCTGATCGGGTTCGTATGTTTCGAAAACTAATGACTTTCTCTGGTTCAAAAACAGGCTGACCATCACCTGAATATGGAGGTAGAGTTGTTGTTGACGGAATAGCATCCCCGATGTGTTTTTTAAGGAGCGAAACATGAAAGACCGGATGTATTCGTGATTCAGGTGGCAACTCAAATCTGTAAGCAACATCACCTAGTTTCTCCAATATTTTGAAAGGACCAAAGAATTTACATGCTAACTTCTGACTAACCCATTTAAAAACGGACTGTTGACGAAAAGGCTGCAATTTCAAATAGACATGGTCGCCAATCTGATAATGAACTTCACGTCTTTTTGCGTCAGCTAGTTGTTTCATGCGATTAGCTGCAACAACAAGATTATGGCGTAAACTCTGGAGAACCTCTTCACGTGTACGCATCTGTTCATCAACTTCTGCCAGTGGTGACCTACCGTCTTTATAAGACCGAAGTATAGGCGGGGGACGACCATAAAGAGCCTCAAAAGGTGTCATATTTATTGAGCGGTGATAAGACGTGTTATACCATAGCTCAGCCCATGTTAAAAACAGATTCCATCGGTTGGGATAATTGTGAACAAAGCACCTTAAATACTTACCCAAACACCTGTTTACCACTTCGGTCTGTCCGTCAGTCTCTGGATGGTAAGCAGAGCTAGTTTTCAACGTCGTTCCCTGCAAACGAAATAACTCTTTCCAAAATAAACTCATGAATATACGATCTCGATCACTAATAATAGTCTCAGGAAACCCGTGTAATCTAACCACTTCGCGAATAAACACACCAGCCACGTCTTTAGCATTAAACGGGTGTGACAGAGACATAGAATGAGCGTATTTTGTGAATCGATCCACCACCACGAGCACTACATCTCGCCCTTGAGACTTCGGAAGGCCTTCGATAAAGTCCATGCTTATATCAGCCCATACTACACTTGGCACGGGCAAGGGAGTCAATAAACCAGCTGGGGCTAAGGAATCTGTTTTGGTTCGTTGACATATTTCACATTCACGTACGTATTTATTGACAACAGTCCTCATACCAGCCCAAGAAAATACTTGGTTTAGTCTTCGAAAGGTGCGCAACATGCCTGAATGACCTCCTTCTGATGTCCCATGGAATTCTTTAATGAGTTGCATCCGTAATCCACCATTTTCTGGGACCATCACACGTCCTCTATGTACAACACAACCATTACGAATTGTGTACTCATATTGACTTGATGGTTGGCTTTGAAGCTCACGACAGATTTTCTCTAAATAGGGATCTATTTTCGTCTGTTTGCGTAGTTCATCCCATATAGCCCATAATGGTCCTGAGATGGCAGCAGCCTCTGCCGGTTCTTCTGTCATCATATTATCACGACGGGATAGGGCATCAGCGGCCTTATTGGTGGTTCCAGGCTTTAATATGATGGAATAGTCATAACCTAACAGTTTGGCTATCCATTTCTGTTGCTCTGGCGTAGTAATTTGTTGTTCCAGGAGGTGGCGTAAACTCTTTTGGTCTGTATAAATAGTAAAATGTTGGCCTAGGAGATAGGTACGCCATGTTCGAATTGCCTCTAGGATCGCAAACATCTCCTTTGCGTAGGTTGACCAGACTTGATTTTCCGGTCCTAATGCTTTACTCATAAACGCGATGGGGTGACCTTTCTGAGACAATACTGCTCCAACTCCCATTCCAGAAGCATCTGTTTCAATAACAAACTCTGAAGTAAAATCGGGCAATGCAAGCACTGGAGTTGAAGTCATAGCCCTTTTTAAAGCCTCAAACGCTTGGGTTGATTCTGAATCCCATGTAAACTTCCCCTTTTTTAATAATCGAGTCAACGGCTGTGCGATCAGACCATAACCTTGGACAAACTTTCGATAGTAGCCCATAAGCCCCAGAAATCCTCGTAGAGCAGTAACATTTGTGGGTACTGGCCATCGTACCATTGATTCTATCTTACGTGGATCAACTTGAACCCCTTCCCTGGAGATGTAGTGGTCGAGGTATTCTACCTTGATTTGGAGGAAGAAACATTTTTCTGGTTTGATGTAGAAGTGGTGATGGGCCAGAATGCTGAGTGTGCATTGTAAATGGTTAAGATGCTGATCTTTCGTCCGACTATAAATTAGTATGTCATCAAAGAAGATGAGTATAAAAACCCTTAGATGTGGCCGAAAAATTTCATTCATCGCTGCCTGGAACGTGGATGGTGCATTGCAAAGCCCAAAGGGCATGACAAAATATTCATAGTGCCCACTATGCGTCCGAAAAGCTGTCTTACTCGCGTCATCTGGGTGAACCCGTACCTGATGGTAGCCAGCACGTAAATCTAGCTTAGAAAAATAATGAGCCCCATTCAATTCATCCAGCATGTCATCTATGGTTGGAATTGGGAACCGGTCTTTGATAGTCGCATTATTAAGGGCTCGATAGTCTGTGCAAAATCTCCAAGAACCATCTTTTTTCTTGACCAATAACACAGGTGACGAGAAGGGACTTGTGCTAGGTCGAATAAATCCGACTCGTAACATGTCTTCCACTTGTCGTTCTATTTCTGCCTTCTGAAAGTGTGCATAGCGGTATGGAGAAACATTAACTGCCATAGTTTCATCTTTTAGACATATGCGATGATCAAACCTTGGTCGAGGGGGAAGTGTTCTTGGTTCCTCCAAAACTTGGGAGAATTGGTTCAGTATGTTCTGGACTTCCCCTGGCAGTTGCTGATCTGTATCAGTACTACTGACCACTCCATCTGCAACAGTTACAGCAAATAATTCTGCTCCACAGCGCCAATCTTCGAGCAGGGCATTAACGGTCACCGGTTGTATTGATGGAGTATTATCTGCTGTAATGATATGAGTAGTTTCCCCAGACCAGAACTCCATGGACATGGTATTGTAATCAGCAGTTACTTTTCCCAAGCCTTTCAACCATTGCATTCCCAGAACGATATCCATTCCTGTGATAGGTAAGGCATATAACACAGTAGTGAATGTATACCCCTGGATTGTAAGGGTAACATGCTCATATTTTTCAGTACACCATAATTGGTCTCCATTAGCAATTTTAGCAGCAAAGGGGGTGATCAGAGAAACCACCAATTTCAAACGGGCTGCCACCTCTTGGTTAATAAAATTGTGAGTAGATCCCGAGTCAATTAAGATGTTAAGGCATCGTTGATTGATATACCCGCGTACTCACATAGTCCGAGCATCCACACCCCCGACTAGAGCATGTAAAGATATCTGTGACTCCATAGGATTTTCTTTATCATCTTGCCCTTCACAATCAGAGAGTAAGTTTTCCTCCCCAGTTTCAATAACAAATTGTGACGCTTTGCAACGATGTCCAAGTACAAACTTTTCATCACAATTATAGCACAAGTTTTTCTCTCGGTGAGTTCGCATCTCTTCCACCGTCTGCCTCCTTGCTGTGTTGGATGAAATCGGTTTGAGGTTATTCTGTTCAGATGCAACTATTTGAGGTGCTCGCCAACTAGGAGATTTCATTATTGGTCTTATGCTTCGTTGTTGTTTCTCATCAATACGACGGGCCAATTCCATCGCCTCCGTTATGTTTCTGGGATTGAAAAGGCGTACATCAAGCGATAGTTCCTCCTTTAAGCCTCCAAGAAACGTTCCTAATAGAGCCTTGGTGGTCCATCCTCTTACACGCGTGGATAACCTCTCAAATTCCTGGAGATATTCACGGTAAGAACCTGTTTGTTTGATTTTGCTCAGAAGTTCATCATAATTCTCAAAGTCTGTAGGTCCAAAACGTTTTAATATCCCGTTCTCAAATCGTTTCCAAGAAATCTCCTTGTGGTTTCAGCCCTTAGAGAACCATTGCCACCACTGATTTGCTTCCCCCTCAAGATGAAAAGAAGACAATAAAACCTTTTTTGAACCTTGAATACTTTTGACAGAAAAATATTGTCTCACCCTATCCAGCCATACGATCAAATTATCATCGGAAAATTTTGGAAAATCAATCTTTAGGCGATCTCGTAACTCACCCGGTCGGGGTCCCCTGCGGTCATCTTCTTTGGTAGTGGATTCCGGCTTGCTAGAGGCGCTGCTAGATGAGTCGCTCCCTTCAGTCGAACCTATGGAGGAAGATGACGATGAGGAGGTGGTCTCCTGTCGCCGTTTCTTCCGTCTAGTCCTTTTTGGAGATTTGGATCGGGTAGATGATGTCGATTTTGATGACCGTCTACTCCCAGAACTTCTTTTTTTTGTCAACGATTCCATGTTAATGGATAAGGTATTGAGGGATGCAGTGATTTGGGCGATGGAGTTTTCCACTCGTTCAAGGCGCTCCCTGTTAGTCATGCTTGCTTAGCAATCCCAAGATGGAAGGCTCTAATACCAATTGATGTAAATAAACAAGAACGAGCCTTTACTCATGGTGTAAAGGAGACCAATTGTCTATTAAGCCAAAAAAACAAGCTCTTAAGCAAAAGAGAGTATTAATACTCCAAGAAAAACCAAGCTATTAAGCCAAAAAAACAACCTCTGTTTTATTAAGCAAAAGGGAGTATTAATACTCCAAGAATCCTACCTGCAGACTACTCCTTGAGCAAGAAGAACAAATAAGAGAAGTACTAATTCTAATACAACTCTCATCTACGAATTAACTAATAGAAATTGCTCTAAATAGGAGTAAAAACTTTCTGAAATTCCAAAATAGGAGTATCATGTTTTTTATTCCTTGAATAGGAGTAATCTGCCAAGTTTGGAAAAAAATGTCTTGTTTAATAGCCTAATAATGCCAAACTTGGCAGAAATTTACTCCTGTTTAGGGAATAAAAACATGATACTCCTATTTTGGAATTTCAAAACTTTTTTACTCCTATTTAGAGAATTTACTCATTAACTAAACATAATAATGCTGTAAAGTAAATAATTAATTAAATAAACATGAAGTAAATAAATATTGCCAATGATCAGGAAGCTTCAATAAGTCACGTAGTTCTGGAGTCGTGTACTACTTCTTCGGGCCCGCTTACTATGACGGCCCATTGGGCCCGTATCCTCATCAGAAGTATCCATATTTTTAAAAGTAAGTTCAATACTTTTATTTAATTACGGATACAGAACCAATACATACAGAACGCGTACGAGTGAGTATCGGTATCAAATACGTATCGGATACACAAATACGACATCAGAGTGAAGTATCAGTGCACCATAGAATTACATGACCAAACATGCCAGTGGCTAAAGTTAGGACTACAAATGAAAACAGCCTAAAGTTGTAGGACTGAAATTGCAAATCTCTCAAAAAAAATATACCATCTTGCAAGCTTAGAGATGAAGTTATAAGCCACTTGAATCAAGTTACTTTGTTAATTCATGCATAGTCGAGTATGAGCTCGTTTTGTCCGTTTGGTGACTACTCCATTTGTAGGTTTATTAAGCTTATCAGACAACTTTTTCATCAAATACATCAAAGTATGAAAAAGTAAGATTCAAGTTACTTTTATGCATGTATTGTTTGAAGTTACTTTAGAAGATCATTTTAGCTATTTTTCAAATAATCTTTTCTTTATTTTATTAATAAAAATTATTTATATTAATTTTTTTCATAAATCAACATAATCAACCAATCCAACCACTTCATCCAGAACTTCATAAATTTTATCAGAATAAGCCGTTTTGACCGATTTTCATGTTATGAAACGGGCTCTCCATGGAACAATTAAAATAAGCAACGACGGTCTAAATTTCCACTTCGGCCAAAGCTGAAATCTTGTGGGCCTAGTTTGATGACATTTTAGAGGGAAGAAGTGTATAAATGTTACCTTAACTATCAATATAGAAGCATTTAATATATTTGCTCGTAAATGAACCAAATCGTACCACAACTAGTTTTAAATGTTTATCTGGCGGTGATGTGAGTTTTCTCGTACTTAAAATAGATTGTAATATAGTGGTGTAAGTACGAGTATCATCTCCACAGGGACGGACAAAAGGGAATTAAGAATTAAATAAATTCAGTGATTAAAATAAAATAAAATAAATGCGTCGTGCGAGATTAGGAAACCGGAGCAATTCTAACCGAAATAGGAAACCGGGAGCGCACGCACAGCACCCACGCATATGCACGGCGTGCCTAACTTTGGGCTCACGGAGTCCGCTCTTCACTTCTGAATTTGACAATCATTCCTTCATAAAAGTTGTAGATAATGAAGTCCTCTATCCACCACAACTTGCAAAATTGGATTTGATTCATCCAATGAAAAGATATGAATAACATGGTGGAAGGTCACATTCTGAAATCGCAACAGCGATCATCTGAATGCTTCGTCTGGTTTCACCTTCTTCCTCTACGATTTGCGCAATAGTGTCTTCATATGATTTGTAGCCCTTGAAGTTGGCTTTGATATGAAACTTGAATCGGGTTATTTGGATGCTTCTACAAAAAGATATGATTGAACGATTGATAGAAGGTCCTCCTGAGCGCCGCTTTCAAGCTGTATACGTCTTCTTTTGATCCCGTAACCGATTCTAGAGCTCTTTTGTCTTCAAATCCTCAACGTAAACCTCCCGGCGACCTCCAAAGCTCTCACTCAAATCAATCTCTAATGCTTCTCAACTCGTCCCGATTGCTTCTCAAGTGCCGGTGCCGGGGTTAAATTCCCTGATTTTGACTCCAAAAGACACGAAACTCGGACCAACGCCTGGTAACATAACTTGAGCTAAAATTGAGACTTCTAACACCTTAAAGCTAGGAAAACCATCACAAGTCGATCCCAACACGCATCAAATGCGTGTCTAAATACGGACTTATCAAATTCCTCCACACTTAAGCCTTTCCTTGTCCTCAAGCAAACTGAACAATAGAACTTACGATAATCACCACACGAAATTAAAACAATTAGCATGCACAGGTAGTTAAAGGGATATTCACAGAACAAACAGAGTAAACCAAGAAAATTCTTCCATAAACTACGTCTTTGTACTCTGGCTAAAATCAATGACTAAATTAATCACAACATCCTCAAAATTATGGCAGCACACACTAATAAACTAGCTACTGAAATCAGAAGGACTTGTGAAGACAGTGATGAACGGTGAATGGTAAGGAATAATCAATCCCTTTCTTTGAGAGTTTTGGAATAATTTGACAAAAAATTAATGCGTTCAGGAATTTTAGGGCTATTTTTCGGATCAAGGAATTCAGTAGGACACACAAATTAGGAACTATCATCTAAACCTATGCAAAAAGCAGACATGGTGTACAACTAAGCTAAACCGTCGCTGCACATTGGTGCCTTGACGTATACTTGAAATACGCGAAGGAGTAATGCTAATTTTGCAATAGTCTCCAAGTTGAATTAATTAAGATCAGTTTTCCTTGTCATGTTGGCAAAAGAACGCCATTTCTTTCGAAAGATACCCAAGATCAGTTTTGCAGAACACTTACGCTTTTTGACCGGTGCTCCCATTCTCTTTTTCGCAAGGTAAGAGGTCTAGTTCATTCAATTAATTTTTTCAATTTTCAGATTTTCACTAGACATTACCTCATTCTAATCTCGGCCTCACCAAGGAAAATTAGCAATTAAAGTTCAATTAATCAAGGTGAATCCATGCCTACAATGCAATCCTCGAAAATATCAAATACCTAAAAAGTGACTGCTCTTACCCCACTTGGGGGCATAGGAACAGTGCCAAAATTGGCTCCTAAAAAAATTCCCTAAACTTATCAAATTAATCCCTTAGTTCCCTAAACATCAAAACCTTGTCAGAATTCTTTACGGGTAAGGAAACACAGGCCATTTGGGCGATGGAGCTCAATTAATTGGGTAAAGAATAAACGGTCAGGCTCAAAATGACTTCTCCTAAAGGACTTATTCAGGTGGGTGGATGATTTATGAATTCAACGGGTGACTAATGCCTTCATCCTCTCAATAACTAGCTCATCGTGCAGCAATTTCAGCCTAAACACATTGAGGATGTTCTAAAAAAACGCAGTCAATTCTCTAGCCAGTTTCACAAAGACACAGTTTAAAGAAAAATTTTCAAAAATTTTGACATGACTTCCCTAAGAATATACCACTAACACCTACGCATGCTAACTCTAGAAATCCCATGTGACAACTACTGTCCGAATGCCCAATTCACTCCGCCACACTTAAACTTTGGCATCGCCCTTGATGGCAAAAAATGCACTATGCACATAGGGGTAAAGAGGAAAGGGTCACACATGTTATCCTTAACTCAAGTCAACATATACAAACAGGCGATTAAAAAAGTCGCAGAAACTTCCTTAAGGCGTTGGTCGGTGCAGAACTAAACTGAGTCAAGTGATTCTCGGCACATCATCCCCAAAGCAAGATCCTGAGCTGGAAAAACAAAACACAAAAAAAACACAGAAAACACCCCAGATTTTTTTTTGGGGGGGGGGGAGGGGGGGGGTTCTGAAAGCAAACAAACACAACAAAAAAAATGCAGAAATAAGCTTGGGTTGCCTCCCAAGAAGCGCTATGTTTAACGTCGCTTGCCCGACGTTACCTCGTAAGCTCTTAAATAGCGCCGACTGCAGTGGTGCACTAGTCATCAAAGTATCCAGCTTTCCCTCAACAAATGCCCTTAGGTGGCGCAGATTCTTGAATTCTTGAAACCATGAAGGTAGCATATGGTCTTCATAACCCTCATCAGCGCAAAAGTGAAGTATGACCCTCACATCCTCATGTTCAAAATGCATCATAAACGCCTCTTTTCCTCGCTCGAATGTACCATGAAAATTCTGAGCACCTCCTCTGGACTCACTATCACTCTCCATGAATGCATCCCAATTCATTTTGTCACTCTTCTCATTATTATCCTCCAAGAAGTTGTGATCATTATCCACACAAAAAGAAATATCATCACTAAGGAATGGATCAAAGAAATCCAAATCTGGACTAACGTAAGAGGAGTAATCTTGTATGTGGAGCGGGACTTCTTCATCATAGGGATCATCTACCTTGCTACCACTCTCTTGGAGCTCGTGATTATCTTTTCCCAACTCTTCTTCAATGTCATGACTCATCAGCTCCATTCCCTCCTCGTCAGGGGTTGAGACTAATCGTAAATCAAACGGCTGGGGAGTTTCTATATAGAAATCACAGTGATCTGTGACTTTCTCAGTTACAGCTTGTACCGTTCGAAACTTTTTCCTGTATTGTTGGAAAAACAACTCGAGAATACTATAATTTTGATCAAGTTCAACCATAGGTGGATCTTCAAAAGCATCTAGGAGGGTATCATCCATCATATTCCCACCATCGCAGTCTGACTCAATCATATGATCATCCCTATTGGTCTCCTCAGGTTGGGATTCTACCAGATGACTCCTTATGATATTTATATCCCGCATTATGTTTGAAGTGCTCTGCGTCATGGCTAAAGTGCTTTCCCTCGTAATCTCTAGGTACTCAGACAGAGTCTCTGAAAGTGTCTTCTTACACTGATTCTGTGGCTCAGTACTTGGTGGAGACATAGGAATGCCTGAAACATTTGTTTTTGCAAATTTCGGGGTGGAATAAGTGGGGTATGCCGTTAAGGATGGCCGTATGGAGGAATGGGGC